TTAAAAAAGAAAAGAAAAGAATACTTTAATCGGAGAGTGCTTTCTTTTCTCTTTGAAAGTCATCACATAACGGCATTGTAATACACGGTTCGGCTGCATTAAATAGTACACATCCGCCGTAGTTCTTTATTTATAAAGCCCTGATTAGAAGACTTCTAGACAACTGCCACCGAAACTGAATATGTGACGTGGATCATAAATATAACAGCAATTAAACAACATCTTAAATTTCTCTTCACACAATACGTCTCCTGTATCAATACTAATTTGGCTGACTTGTATATTTGATCCAATTGGTAGATAGGCTATATTTACACCATAACGGTGCACAGCTGATAGACAGGGACTGGTAGTTTTTAAAGATATTACTGATTTTCTTTGAATATAAGAATGTAAATACTGAGTTGAGAGAATAGTCAGGGGTTTTGGGTGATGGGAGACACATCTATGGAATCAGAATTTCAATAGCTTACCATTAAATGACTGATATACCTTTCTGTCTGTGATGTTTTACAAATCAGATATTAATGTGTAGAAGTAAAACATGTGAAATCATATAGCAATATCGTGTAAACAGATGTGAAAACATGAATAAAACTACACATCTTTAGATGTTATACATACATAAGTGTCTTACACTAATAATACAAAGTTATTATGGCATTGTATGCTGTGTATACCTTATTTGTAACATCTTCAGAAACTACCTTTCCAACTCCTCAACAGTTGCCTGTCTTCGACTGTTGTAGGCAGGGCCGGCTCTAGACAATTTGCAGCCCTAGGAGAGATTTGAGTTGGCGCCCCAGCCAGAGAATCATACAATAGAAAAGATAAAGATCAATAGAGTATCCAAGGAATACACAAAAGAATGGGGGGTGGACGTCACATCCTCTAGGGGGGTCCGGAGGTATGCCCCCCCGGGAAGATTTTTTTAACATTTTAAAGGTCAGATGTCATGCTTTTCTGGTTATTACCCGTCCCCTTCTGTGTTATGAAGGTTTTTCTGCATGTAAACGGTGTGCAGAGTCAAAACCCTCAAAGTACACCCTGTAGCAAGTAAAACTCTAAAACGGAAAATACCTCCCCAAAACGCCTCGTTGGTGAAACGTCATCATCCATTTGATTCTTCCTAAGAATGGGCCAGTCCGTGGAGCCATTACGTTACGTCCGCGGAGCCGTTACGTTAAGCCCCCGCTGATTGGTCCAAATTGACTATTCTACACACACACTCTCAGTGCAGGCAGCCCTGCTGATTTCTGCTCCTAGCTGCAGGCTGATAATGCGAAAACCAATGTGAGTTTGGAAAATTGTACAGTATTTTTCTATTTTAGTATACCTCAACAATGGAATTATGATCAGTGGAAATGGCCATGACATGTTACCTTTAAAGTAAAATGCTTCAATCTGGTGCACTTTAAGCAGAATTACTACTAGATCTAGGGGGTACAACTCTAAACACCCATATGAAAAAGATTGGTTTACATTTTATTAATCANTTTCTAATAAAGGCGCCGTGTGGAAGTCTATACTAAAGTAGATCAATATGTCTGGTTATCTTTATTTACTTTTTGTCCAACTTTATCGGATGCAATATGTCATACAGTCAATTTTGTTCTTATGTCTAAATTTTCCGCTCACTAACATTTTATAGGTATTTCTTTTCTTTTAGACAAATGTCCTAAAGACAAAGTATAACCCACGACTCTCTCCATTAGGTATCTAGATAAGTACGAGAGGTTCAGGTGGTCTAACTACGAAAGTTTGAAGTTATAAATTTTTTTTAGAAGGGCCCCTCGGTAGGGGGGCTGGGGGGATCTTCTCACTCCAAGGCGGGGGGGTTATCGTGAAATGGGACTGGATATACGGCACTCGACTAATACCTCGGTGGTAACATTGTCATTAATCTACCGTTAATTCGAATATATTTCCCGGAAGTATAACCTCGAAACAGACCGGCAGAAAAAGTGAGTTAAGACGTTATCCATCTAGAGCGGAAAAGTGGATCCGGCTTCCATCACTAGAACCCGAATTTTTCCAATCCACTGTGACGACATTTAGTTGACTTTATATTGGAATGAACACAAACGCAAGAATTAGTTCATAAAAGAGAAAGGTTTAATCCCCAACTTATTGATGACAAAACCGTTCTAATCTAAACACTCAGAGTCCTTTAGCTCACCTGAGCCCCTCAGTCTGACAGGGGAAGACTCTCCTCCAGCTTGTTGTGGAAACAGCTCCTTATGGCCGTTAGTGCAGCTAGCTAACCAGATGCTAACATCACGGTCCCCGCTAGCACCGGTCCCTCTCTCTCCCTCTCCCTCTCGCCCTCTCTCTCTCTCACACTAAATGCGCTATTGCCACACACACACACACACACACACACACACACACACACACACACACACACACACACACACACACACACACACACACACACACACACACACACACACACACGCACACACAAAGAGCCAAGCTTGAATGACACAAGCACACGTGTATTTCCATGCAACTCTCTGATTGGTCCGGTGACTTGCCTCTGTTGCGTTCAGTGAACACGGGAAATTACAGTCCTACCGTTGTCTCTTGTATCATGATGAGGTTCACGTAAAGCACGGTTAATGTATTATATTATTGAGGTGTCTCAAATATACGTCAATCAAGTGGCACCTGCTAACGGGGTGGTGGATGATAGGTTTACATCTAAAATCGTATTTTTCAAACATTATTATTTTAATTTAATTTTTCTTTCTTTTGTTACTTTTTTTTTTAAAGGTCCGCGATCTACCCGCACCACACTCGTCGATCGCGATCGACTGGTTGGCGACCACTGATTTACAGGATAAACCCTTGATTACCTGTTCAATGCTAGGTTTTTCAAACGGAGGACTCTCCTGTGCTTCTAACATTGGCTTTCCCATCTGTAGGATTGATTTCCTCAACAGCTGAAACATAAGCAGTAAAGGGGGGATGTTAACATGTACACATTGCTGGTTGTAAAACCACGTTTTTGTATGTTTGGATTGTAAAAGCGGACACTTACTTTGAAAAGGGAAAAGTAGACCTGTTTAGTGTCAGCATCCTCCTCTTTGTGAACACATGTGTAGAGGTATTCCACATCCAGGACTATACCTAGAAGTCGGTTCATTTCCTCCTCGGAAACATTTTCTAGATGGGTCACATGGTCACCTAGGAAATAAATAATAAACCTTAAAATGGTATAGGCAAAACAGCTGATTATAATATAGTATCAATATCAGCTGTATGTTTAATTACTAGACTGGCTGACATACCCAAGGTGTGAGAACAACTCCGGCAAGGCTCCTGCAGGCTGACTGTGCTGGACGGCTGGTCAGTTCGCGGGGGCGTAGGAGGGGGGTTCTGACTCTTCCAGCCGTTACACTTACAGGCTCCCTCTGCCTAGGAAAAACAATCAGGAGAACAGATCAGGACCAACCTACTTTATTTAATTAACCACCTTTTTATCTGTGAAACACATCATTCATACTTGCTGTTGATGCAAGTTGAAGTGATCTTTTAAGAAAACACTTTAGGTAGAGTAGCTGATTTCAGTCACTCGCACACTTTAACCGCTTTTTAGTCAGTGCCGAATTATAATTATAATTTCTTATAAATATATATTTTTATAAATGGGCCAAAGCTTCATTAACATATATTTAAGAGCATCTTTGGCCTGTCAGCGTCAGCTGGAGCTGCCTCACTGAGCATGCGCATTGAAACAAAAACAAACTCCGCCCCTTCAGCAGCTGTCACCCTGTCAAAACAAAGACCCCGTCCCACTCTGCGGATGATTTACTGCATAAAACCAATAAAATACTGTCTATTTAACGCCGTGCGTTGACAGACGGCACGGAGACACAGTATCGTTTCCCGTGTAACGCCACGGACCGTGCACGAACACAAACAGTGGGATCATGCAGCCATTCTGCACACAGCCAGCTACTCCCAAGTAACAGCGCCAAGCCAATGTTTACGTTCACCGACCCCCCACCTAGACAGAAATATAGTAACATTACACATCCAGCGGAAAGCTTGCACCTGAGAGGCCTCTGCTTAAGAGTTCTGCAGAAATAACGCTTTCATTAACTATATTATTAATATCCCTCTTTCAATAATCGGTCTGTGCATGCAAAATGAAAAAAATGAAGTGCGGCAATGGCTTCCTTTGCTGCGCTTGCATTTTGTAAACTATTGCAACCAAACCCAGGAAATAGGATTAATTAAGAATAAATCCATGAAACCAGTGTTTTAAGAGTCAGGCATCTGCAGGTATCGCTTACTTTGCAGGACGAATAAACTCCGAGTTTTTCCAGTTTCTTCGGCCGAGGTGAAGAGCGGAGTTGCGCCTTCTTTACGGCGATACGTGCGGATCCTCCAGCGGCGCCCTCCGTCCCCCCGGCTCCCGGAGCGGCCGGGACCAGGCCCGCCGCCCCGATGGCCGGCGAACCTTGCTGAATCCCAGCGCTGTCGGCCATGATTCACACGGACCCCCGACGGGACCCCCGGCCCGGGTTATATTCGCTCTGCCGTCCTCTCTATTCCACAAGCGGAGGATCAGACATGGCGCTCATCCTTATTTTTTAATTTCTCACTGTAGGCCCATTTTCCTCCGCTAGGGGACTCAAGTGGGATAGGCCAAATTCACTACAATTCAGAGGATAGGTCACAAAATGCACCCGTTTGTAGCAAATGTTCAAGGTCAAACTTAATAGGAAAAATGTGGCTTACCATGCTGAGCCTTATCTGAGCACACAGTGACTAGTGAACCGTGTTTATTCAAGGCTTGCATACAGGAATTAGTCAAATTAATAGAAAAACCCTATATTAATAGAACATTAAAACGACCTATATGGGTAGGGATGATGAGAGTTAAACTGTATGTCATAACCTATAAAATAACTAACATCGACGTGTTTTTTTTGGGGGGGGGGGGGGAGTTCGACACACACAAAGTCTGATGACAATAATAAATGATCAAATTGATTTCAGTATTTATTTGGTCATTACATAACAGTACTGTAAAATGCTTGCATTTAAAGGTTCTCAGGTGCAATTAAGTGTTAATGAAAAAAAAACATACAATTTACATCCTTATTATGTTTTAATTCATTTATTTATGAATGACCATCGTGCCAGCTGATAGTTGTTACACGTTTCCTACAATATCTTCACAAGACTACTGAGATGTTAAAAAGGCAGACAGTTGGTTAATCAAACTGTTTTGTATTAGTTCTGCCTTCTCTGGAGCTTTTACAATCAGCGTTTCTGGAAGTTCAGATCTACTTACAGGGAGAAATGTGGACAAGTAGCCTGATACCACTAAAAACGAGATTAGTGAATTTGTGAGAGATAATGTTAAAAATATAAACCAAAATATTTGGATATTATTTTTTTTCTTTTGAGAAAAAGGGTACAAGACAGACATCTAAATAAATGCAATTTCCTTTTTTGTTAATAACACTACATACATTTATAAAGACCACCACTGATTATAATTTAACCATTTGTGTGAAAAAAGTTACAGCAACCAAACTCCAAACCCAGATTGTAGCTGTTATTTTCTGCTAACTGTACAGTTTTTTAGATAGATTTTCTCCCTAGCAAGCATTAGTCCTGTCACTGGTAAATCGAAAAAAAGTAGACTACACTGCAACACCCTATTTACAGTATATTATTTATATATTTATATTTTTATATATATATTTATATCACACTGGCTGTAATTATGACAAGATATAGTAATGAGCATCATTAGTGCAAGGCATGAGTAAGACCTGGAAAAAGAGTTATTGACCACATGTATGTATATGTGCGTGTGTGCATGTGTCGCTGTATGTAACAATGTCAAGTGTGGGGGTGGGACAGGGGGGAAAAAGTGTGCTCAACACAGGTGACGGACAGGTGTAACAGACTGTGTGTGTTTATGTACAGTTATGTTTATGTCTGACACAGTTCAGAGGGAGGAAGTCAACGTAATGTGTGTGTTCATGTGCAAATGTGTTCAAACCTCACACAAACACACACAAACGGGCACGTGTGAGTGAGTCAATGGATGAAATCTGTCATCTGCCAGCCAGCCCAGGCCTAGTTTGTACACACTGTGACGCACAAATGTTTCTAAAGAATTTCCTAAACAGGAGAAGATGACTAATATTTATGATTCAAAATGGTGATTATGAAGCAGCCTTACATATTGCAACTCCCAACCCTCTACCATCACCTTTTGCTTTTAACAGGTGCAAACCTAGCAGGGGTCCGACAACATTAACACAGTAGAATAGGTAATCTGCATAAACAAAACCATCCAAAGCAGAAACCAAGAGACCCGAGGATAACCACAAAGAGATGGTCTGCACAAGATGTATCAACGGACACTGCATCAGGAGATTGTGACCTCAGAGGCCCCGGCGCCTTGTTGTGGAGAAAGCTGTGTGGAGCAGGGTTTTCTTTTTTTATTGTGCTGCATTGGTCCTTGCAGACACTCAAGTCACAGAGTAAATACTGTGAAACATTGCACAATGCCACTATGGACAGCTAGAAGCAGGCATGGCCCCAGAATGGAGCTTTAGAGAAATATACACTAGTGCTACTTTAGGTTAAGTAGGGGAAAGGGCCTGGAAAACACAGGCCTTTCCTCTTTCTCAGATCACAATAGTACCCTCCTCTTCTATGATAGACCTTTGTTTCTGTGCTGCTGCAGACTAATTGTTTTAATTTTTCTATTTTAATTTTTCTATTTTAGGCCATATAGGTAGTTTTGTGCATCCATCCTTTTGACAATAATAAGTAACAAGATTATCAAAAAGAACAAAAACAGAAGACCAGAATAAGAAATGCAGTAGTAAAGTCTTAAGCTATCCCATAATAGGGAAGTAACCACTTCCTCTTAATGAGAAGAAAGGATATGGAAGGCAGGGTGCACTAACATCTCTAATATCTGCTATCGTTAATCTATCAATAATAATTGATAGATGTAACAAGCTGGATGGCGGAAAAGAAGAAAAAGATTGGTTATGAGGCATAATCGGGTAGCAGCGGAACCGTGATGGAGGAAAAGAGGCGTGGCCGTGTGAAGAGATCAGTGTAATGGCATTGAGTTCGTTACTGCAAAAAGAAAGGGGGGGCACAGGGTATATTTTCTTGTTTTGCAGGAAGAGGGATAAGAGTACACCACATTGCATTAGTAACTGCGGTGGCATTCAGGACATCGGCCGCATTAGTTACTGCTCTACAGGTGGTTGGAGGGCGGGGGCCTTCACGTTAGGTACTGCAGCACGGAGCCTTGGCCGGCGGCGCAGGTGTCAGGTCCACCACCCGGCTCCGCCCACTGTTAGCCCCCGCAGCCTGGGGCTCACTCTTCGGCAATCTCTTGGCTTAAGGGAAAAGCAAAACTATACTTAATAACAAAATAAACTGCAACTTTTTATCTGCAGGGTGCAGTGGTATACGTTCTATAACTCAAAATAATCTATTTATCAAAATCTATACGTTTCAAGAATTACCCACCAATAGCCATAAATATCTCGTTCACATTCATAGATGTCTTGGCCGACGTCTCCATGAAAAGTAAGCTGTTGTCATCTGCGTAGGATTGGGCATCCTGTCAACATAGTGTAAAGACCATGAGTACACATGCAAGTTTTTAAAAACAATTAAAACAATTAGACGGAATAAATCACTTGTGTGGGTCTTGGATTCATTACATTTCATTTAGCTGACGCTTTTATCCAAAGCGACTTACAATAACATAAAAGAAAATTGAGACAAAATATAGATATCTATGAGAAGTAAGAGATTAGGGGGGTGTATCACAAACTATCACAAACGTATAGTGGCCTTATCTGGCTGGAGAGAGCTTGAGACTCCATACAGAGACATTGGGAACAACAACAGTGATTATCTGCTCTGTTAACACAGGCTTTGATCATCAGGCTCTGTGCACGGTCCCAATAAAGGGGCATTATTTGCCTTTTCTATAGCACAACATAGACAGATTGCATGAACCGTACTTGTGCTATTATATATAAAACATTTAAATATAATGTATTGGCCCATATATTGACTACTGACAATAGAATAACGCTATTTTAAAATGGGGTTGATTAGACAAAGGTGCTTTCAGTCTGAAAATCTGAACATAAGTACGACTATAACCCTAATTTCACTTCATGGTACACCCCTCAGTATTTCCAACAAACTCAAAGCTAATACCGACTGTACGACGCAGTTTCTTTGTTTGTTTGTTTGTTTGTTTGCTCTGACCTGGAAGTCGACAGCTCTCTTGGTTGCCAGGTCGGCCTTGTTGCCTGACAGAGCGATGACTATGTTAGGGCTGGCTTGTCTTTGCAGCTCCTTCACCCAGTTCTTAGCCCGGGCAAAGGACTCCTACAAATAGAACATATTGTGTTATCTGTCATTTCATTCATGTGATCAGTAAGTTCAATAGATATTTCCATTAAAAATCGAATTTTTAACATTGGCAATCAACCGCACTTCAACTTGATGTATACTCCAGAAGAAATCTGACATTTAATCTTGAGGGCAGCATTATGCTCATCTCTCCAACGTTAAGTGAGAGTACAATGTTGGAAAACTGTGAAAAGAATTTATCCAAGGGGGAATCAACTTGCCTCGTTCGTGATGTCGTAGACCACGATGGCGGCTTGTGCTCCTCTGTAATACATGGGGGCCAAACTGTGGTAACGCTCCTGACCGGCAGTGTCCCAGATTTCAAACTTCACCGTTGTGTCATCTAGACACACTGTCTGGGTGAGAAAGGCAGCTGAAAGAAAAGGATAAGCAAAGGGGTGAATAAGCATTAGATAATCAATATTGACACCAGAACAACACTACTTTATAACGCCATGGAAACAATATAAGTCATAAATATATGAAAACAAGAATTGTACATTTTGCAAGACCAAAATATTTAATTTTTTCGACTTTTGCCGCAAAGTATTTCTATAAATGACACTTGTGGCTTAATTCAAGCGCTAATTTACAAACAGTTAACTTCTACAATTATGTTTTTTTTTTACTTTTAAAATGTTTCTTTTTAAGGCGCTGTCATTACAATAGCAAAGCACCAAATGAGCTAGATGAAAGACTGTCATCAATCTCACATAATTGAGTTACAACCAACTAGCAGCTATTGAGACATAGTGTGTTGATATGAAGCTGACCTCCTATCGTGCTCTCCTGGAATTCATGGAATTGCCCTTTAACGAATCGGAGCACTAAGCTGGACTTCCCCACGGCTGACTCCCCCAACAGCACCAGCTTAAACTGACAGATCTTGTTCCCTGCATTGGGTCCGTTGGGTCTCGTAGCTCCTCCCCGATTGGCCATGACCAAGTCAGATCCCCCGCTGTCCTGTGTGCCAAACCTCACAAGGAGGACTTCTACTTCAACATGCAAGAAAAGAGATATCAAGGAGTAAGGAACATGTGTGGAACTTGGCTCAAAATAAACAAAACTGCTAACATTTATTGTACTGCTAAACACTTCTATGTGAGATGTTAGAAAGATCAGGTCACGTATTTCTAATTCCCATCTGAGATATTGCGTTGGGATATCAATTCAATGGGAGGGAAAAATGGACAGACAACCATAACACTCGAAAACATTGAGTCCTCTGCTGTTGCAGGCGATGGAACTTAAAATAACAAGACTGTCCAAAAGCAGGAAACAACAGTGAGAAAAGAACATCAAGGGCAACAAACCAAACAAGTAAATGACAACAATCATACAAACTAGAGTTAAATCAATAGATAGACTGGTTAAACTATTGGAATTAATTATTAGGGAGGCCTTTATTTGGGAACATATAACTATACATCAGTTGGATAATTATTGGTTTAGTCCGTAATTCATATTTTTCTAACATATTAATTTAGTAGAGTATCATAAGAAACACCAGCCAGCATCATCCCTAATTTGAGAAAGTTAGGATAGTTCTGTCTGGTTCTACCTGACAGACAACCCCATAAGCATGCCTTGCCTTTATGAATGCAATTATAAAAAAGGCGAAGAGAACATTAAGCAAAGGAAGCCTTGTTAAGAACCGGAGGAGTTTCACGAGTTTTCACAAGATTTCACCCACACGCATTTCTTGAGTGTCTTGACTGCAAGAACCTCTGTATGGATACATGCCAAGCATTCATGAATAGTTTAGTAACTTATTTAGGATTAAACTTGCTGACTCATTTAACAAGAGATGGGTGTTGTCAGAACATAATCCCAGTCTATATCTGGTTTTCAGGGAGAATTTGTCTGTGGAATCTTATCCCTGACCGCAAAAAACACTATTATGACTTAACCGTCCACGTCACATTAACTCCCTTAACCAGGTAAAAGATAAATAAGCAATAACATACAATGGATCTACCAAAAAGCCCCTCTGTAAAGCACATCTTAGACATTGTTGATGATATTGGAGAGGTGTTCACGGCCTCTATGGTGAGGTCTGAAGCCATAGTTTAAGCCTGTTTATGCTAAACCTTAAGTTTTGGTGCAAAATCAGAGGCAACGCTAAATTAATATCAACATTGTGACAGATGGTTCACACACATGTCAAATTAATTTGTCAACATACCAAAAAAAAACTCAATACATTGAAAATAACATGATCTAGGACAGAAAGCCCATGAACGTTACTATTAAGTTTCGCTTCAGAGGATATGAAATCAAGCATTTATTATTTGTTTTCCAAACACATTTGACAAGTGATGAAGCAAGAAGAAAGCAATTATGCTAAGACACACCTGGGTGAAAAACTAACTGCGTGTACTCAAGACAGGGACTGTCAACAAATGCTGCGCACTGCAATGTTCGACATTTGTGACCGTCGTTAGTTGAATGCAAACACACTTGCTTATAATAGCTGTAGTCATGTATCCGTTTTCGTTCACTAGCTAGTTAGCGTACTTGTTTTTAGCCTAACACAGCTCTTTAACTGACTAGCAACTTTAGCCTCCCAGCCACTTTCAGAAAAGCACCTAAAACGACAGGGTCAACTTTCAAATAAATACAAAAATACGATTGCATAACAGGCCAGTCGTTGTATTGTCATGAACGACAAGAAACTGAAATGTTTTGTTGGCTGACTAAGTTATTTAATGGGGAGTAGCCAACCCCCAATTAACAAACATTGACATTAGCTTGTTAGCATTGTTAGCATTCCACCCACTGACCTGATAACACCCATTTAGCTGTTAGCTGTCACAAAGTCAACTGTAAGCCTGTCATTCAGCTTGCTATACCAGACATTACTGGCCACTTACTAATGACAACATATCAACAACAAATAGGAAAAGCTGGACCCAGTAAGACGTATAAAAAGGCCTGTATTTCTGCATTCCCTTAGCTATCAAACATCACCGATACTAGCTACAGGCAATAGCACAAGCTAACTTGAGTCCCCCGTGAGCGTTAGCCAGTCAGCCAGCTGGAAACCACAACTTGCCGATTCATGTCAAGTACTCTACCTGAGAGCCAGACGATGTTTTTAAATTTAAATACCACTGATGCAGTATTTACACACGGAACCCGGGACACTGTGAACCAAGAAAACAGTTTCAACAATCCCGTCACGTCTCCTCCTTTCTTTCTTCTCGCAACTCCCCTCAGAACCAAAACACAAACAAGCTCTTCCGCCCCCCGTGCCACGTCACACAGCACGAGCACGCTGCCCTCCAGGAAGGAGTTTTCAGCTTAACATAACATAATAACATAACACAACATAACATAAATAGTTATTATGCAATATTTTATTTCTATTCTGTTTCTTTTAGTAATATTTTGTATTTTTTTATATATTTATGTTGCATTGTTGAAGGCGCCTGGGACGATGGATTTTCATTGCCATAACTACACTGTAGCAGTAGCTACTGTGGATATGACAATAAAGTATTTTGATCTTTGAATAGCGCTGCAACTTCTAGTAACAGACACTATTGGAATATTCACTTGAGTGGTAATTAATTTAGATAACACTAAGGGTTGCTATTTTTTTTAAATAATAAAGTAACCATGCAACTGAACTTATAGGAAGCTACCTTTTGGCCTGTTTTCAATTTTTTTTAACCCTATCACACAGAGCTGCAAACAGTTCAAAAAGAGAATTACTTTTATATTTCAGATGCAATCACTCATCAAAGGCCTTGAGAGGTAGAGGTATCCAGTATTTCACAAGAACAGGCAAAACTATTAAAATAAATAGTTTGAGAAAAACAGAAACATCCTAGCAAACAGGTTGCATGCATAAAGGTTTGGCTATATTTCTTGCAATAAACATTTTGGGAAAGTTGCCAGATGTTTATTTTAATGAAACCTACAAAGACCCTCTAAGAAACGTTCCCAGTTACCAAAACTGGTTTTCAGACACATTTGATTAGCCTAAAGATGAATTTAAGATAAGATTGAAAGGAGCAGATTTACAAATGTAATAAGCATACAGTAGATTTAAAGGTCCCATGTCATGGCCATTTCTACTGATCATAATTCCATTGTTGAGGTATACTAAAATAGATTTATATTGTTCAATTTTCCAAACTCACATTGGTTTCTCATGCCAGTGGCCGTCGGCGAGACAGCGAGACACAGCGAAACCCAGCCCGAAACCAGCCCGAGCACACACACACCCGCAGCCTGGCTGGGAGTTTGTGTGTGCGCTCACACACAGACTCACCTCGCCGCGTCCCGCTGTCTCAGGGAGGAGAAATCGGCGGAGCTGCAGCTGAGAAAAGATTGAGTGTGTGTGTGTGTGTGTGTGTGTGTGACTTAACGTTAGGGCTCCTCGGACGTAACGGCTCCACGGATTGGTCCATTTGGACCAATGGGTCCATTTGGGTATGAGCACGTCACTGTACCCAGGAAGAAAACAAAAGAAAAAGATAAATCTCCAACGAGGCGTTCTGGAGCAGCATAGACAGGTCTTTTCTGTGTTAGAGTTGTACTCGCTACAGGGTGTACTTTGAGGGTTTGTCACTTTGCAGACCGTTTACATGCATAAAACCTTCATAACACACAAGGGGACGGGTAATAACCGGTAAAGCATGACATGGGACCTTTAAAGAATATTTTAATGGGTTGGTTTGGATATTTTGCAGTGTGGTATGAGGTATTAATCTTTAGTCAATGTATCGATAATGGTCTGCACGTACGATACTGAAGTAAAGAAGTGCTGCGGTTGATTAGGGCAGCTGAAAACACGTTTTAGTCACCTGAAAGAAAGCCTTATCAAAATAATATAATTACACAAACAAACTAACTGATCAGTCCTGCAACCCTCATGTTCTGCGAGGTGAATTGTATTAGTTTCTTTCAACAGAGCCTGGTTGTCTTGCCAAGAGCATAGATAACGACTTCAGTTTCCTGTTAGAAACAAAGAATGTAAAGCTGTGTCACGGCAAGGAAAATATTTTAAAGGTGACCTATCATGCAAAATGCACTTTTGTACGTCTTTTAAACATGAACATGTGTCCCCGGTGTTCCAGGGAACTCACCAAGTGTCAGAAAACACAACCCTCTCTATTTTCCTCCATACCCAAATCTCTTAAAAAGGGGCTGCAACGGATCTGATACAGACTGATCCAGATTTGAACACTTCTGTGACGTTACAGAAGTGGCGCTACGGCTATTGGGCCAACTCCACCAATCAGGAGGAGACAGCCACGGACATTGCTGTTCGAAAGCGCTGCAGACGCTGTAGTACATATGCCAGGCCTGTAGATGGTGCTGTTCTCACAGAATCAGCCCATGCAAAGACAGTGTTAAATTGAGCGAAATGAGGAATGGCTAAAATGCATGATCGGTTTGGTATTTTGAAAAATAATAAATATGCCTTATACAGGTATGGTCCTACACTATATTATTCAAATATAGCATGATAAGTCCACTTTAAATAAAGCATTGTGTTATAGATTTATTTTGCTGGCTAAAATATGTTTTGATGACATCTCTGTCCAGCGTAGCAATTTACTTTTCTTCTGTGCCTTACCTACTGTGTACACAGATCAATACCTCATACAACCCCACTTCTAAACATCTAAACTATTGGTTTAAAGACGAACAATGGTAGCCATACATATATTTTAGAAAGGAATTATGTGTATGCCCAGTATTCATGCAGTGTTTTTGGTCTCCAGATGAGTTTGAGAAGTACTGCAGTGACGTGGAGCACACAGCAGCTTGGGGTGGACAACTGGAAGTGAGTTGATGACGTTTTGTCACAGACGCACTGTGCTTTTGCTCGTTGTATTTTTAAATAATTATTTAATTTTTTCCCAACAGTTGCGAGCTTTGACTCAAGTTCTTCTCTTGCCAATGGAAGTGATCCAGGCTGACTCCCCACCTATACAAATCGGAGAGGAATTTGATAGTGAACCTGTCACCCTAATGTACGTTGTGTATATTTTGTTTTTTTTGTCAAAGATTCAGTTTGCATAACCAATACAGTTAATTTAGTAGAAAAAAGTATATTGGAGGAACATAATAAGAGTTTTGGACCCTCATTTCATCTCAAGTTAGACACTTTTGAAAACTGATTACATTATGTCTATCACAAAACACACTAAAGCAGGTGTAGAGACAAACTAGTTCAACATGTAATGAATATACTGACTATATTAAATGACACATTTTAATAAAGCTTTTCAGAATTTAGAAATATTTATATCAGATCTCTTGACTCACAGAATATATTTTCTTATTTTTTTCAGATATATGCGTCACGCCTATGGACTAGGAGAGCACTACAACTCTGTGGAGCAGCTAAAGGATCCCGCTAATGCAGAGGACAGCTGAGAGACAAGCCAGTCTTGGTGTGACTTAAACCAATGTGTGTGATTCAGAGTTTGTTCAAACAGCTCACACCAAGGGACCCTAAATACAATCGTATTTCGAAGGAGACCCCCCCCCCCTCATTTAAGACATTGTTAAGCTGAGGTTAACGGAGAAGCTGGTTGTTTCCAACACACAGTGGTAGGTCTTAGAAGTCAAAAGATATCAGCGGGGAGAGTGATATATATTTCTGTAGACAGTATCACTGTGTGTAAGAAAAAAAGCATAAAAGGGAAATTCATGTGAATTAACAATGTTTTGGGAAGCAAAGTTGTACCATAATAGTTAGGAGAGGATGTAAGAGCTATTGATCATTAATTTGACTCCAAATGTTAACAGTCAGTGAGGGGTTGACAAACTGAACTGAATTGTGGAACTTGTGAATCATATCAATGTTACATAAACTCATAAAATACTAATAAGGTATTCAACTGCTTTGTTTTTAATATTTCTGATGAGTAAGATATTATCATAAATACTGTTTGCAACATGAGACTGTGAAACAGCCATTTTAACCTGCAGTGACCAGCAGGAGGCATGCACACATCTATTCATTCTAGGCATGTGTGAAGCAAAAGTTATCTGTTGAAAATGATTAAATACTTGCATGAACCTCAAACAAGCTGTCACTTTTAAAGCAGATATTGTCTCACTCAGGGTAATGTCTGCGTATTGTAAACGGTACACATATACCAAAGGCCTACAGAACATACTGTAGCTCTAATGAAACACAAAACATTATTTTGCAATTGTCATTAAATAACGTTGGAAATGCCGGTGGTGAAAAGTAACTACATTCACTTTCGTACTGTACTTTGAGTATTTCTAAAGTAGTTTGTTAGTTCATACTCTTCTTCATTATGTGGAAATGTTGTACTATTTACCTAATTAAGTTTGTACAGCTATAGTTTGTAGTAACTTTTAATTGGATTACATTTCATATACAAAGCATACATGAAGAACAGACTACAGAGAAGAAAATCTAATATAAAGAAGAACAGTCAAAAGTAACCAAAGTACTTAAAACTAGCTTTAACTCAAAAATGAAACGATTCTCATGCTTTTATAATCGAGTTACTTCACAGACAATATTAAAGTTGAAGTTGAATCTTTTCTACACAATGAGAACTTTTAATATTTGAAGCTCGTTTTGCTCATAATACTTCAGTGCTTGTATGTAATGGACTTAATAAGGAAGCATTTCTACTTGAAATTTAACTTTGGACATTATTTGGACAAATCCTGCAATTCTAGGCTGTCACCACTAGAGGCTACTACTCTTCTAAAAAATATAAATTGTCGCATAGTTAAGACTTCAAATGGCCAGCAAACATCAAATCAAAAAAAAATAATCAAAAAGCTTTTATTGTCATTGTACAGAATACAACGAGATTTATAGTCACTGCTCCAGCGAGTGCTTTGAAAACAGATATATTAAACACAGCTTAAAAGGTCTGACAGTTACGACCAGCAAGTAGTGCACACAGCTTCGATTAATAAATAAATAAATAAATGAATAAAATAGAATGATGATAAAATATATATGATAAATATTACAGTGTATACGACAGATCATGATTATTGCACAGTGGGGATATGGGGAGTTATTTGTGTGTGTTTAATGTCCTAATGGCCCATGGGAAGAAACTGTTTGTGAATCTGGAGGTGCGGGCTTTCAGTGAACGGTAGCGCCGGCCCGAGGGCAGCAGGTCGAACAGATGACTGGCTGGGTGGGATGAGTCCTTCAGGATGGTACTTATGACATTTTAGTTACAAGTTACATCTTTACAGAAAAGACAGGACATACATTACACAATTGGTAATGGTACACAATGATACACACAACTAATACATTAATGAGACAATATAACTAGGCTTTAAAAGTACTGTTTTTTTTAATGCTTTCGTTACATTTAATTGGTCAATTAAGTGTGATTTCTATTTTGAACTGTTATGTGTGGTTCCCTTCTTTAGTTCATTTGCATTTGGAAATGTAATATTTTCCATATCCATATGAAATAAAGAGTATTACCTTACAATAACTATAATTCTTGACATGCAAACAAATGTAGGCTAGCTGTTTTCTTAAAGAGCACTTTAAACAAGGCAACGTTTAAAATAAGTTATACTAATAAAAAACGCCATATATTGGCATTATAAATAAATGGCAGAGGAAGGCTATCATCAGTGGTGGATAGTAAGAAAGTATTTGTACTCAACTACATTTTGAGGTAGCCTACTTGTACTTTACAGGAGTATTTTTACTTTATGCTACTTTATGCGTCGACTCTACTCCACTAAATGTTGGTAGCCAATAGTGTACTTTTTCTACATTTGGTACTTTAAGTATATGCTTAGACTTTATTAAGACCTTTATTGAGTACAATTTTGAATGCATGACCTTTACTAGTAACAACGTATTTTTTTATACTATTATTGCTACTTTCACTCAAGTACATCTTTCGCGCGCTGATGCAAAACGTCACCGACGTGACAAAAAGCGTTGTGTTGCCATGGAGACCTGAATGAGTGCTGGACGAATATTTTCCCAAAATGACCGAGTCAGTGGTAAGAGCTTTACACGGCAAAGCGAAATCTTTAAATTTGAGTTCAAAGAAAATAAACGTGGTTCCGGAGTGTGTTTCAAGATTACCCAACCTGTCGGTGCTCCTGTTGAAGAACAACTCCATCAGCGCGCTGCCCAATGAGCTGCTCTGTCTGCATCACGTGAGTCTGCTTCGTGTGTTTGCTGTTCCAACACAACTCTTCCAATGTTTTACTCAGCACGCAGATTTGTGTAAATACTTTTCGTTTTGCCTGCAAGCTGGTGGAGCTGAATTTGGGGAATAATGCCTTGAAGGAGCTTCCTGCTGTTTTGGGCCATCTGGAGTCTTTGAAGAAACTGTATTTGTTCAGCAACCAAATTACAGCAGTGCCACCTGATGTGATAGGTAGTTTCTCACTGTTCTGCATGATTAGCACCTTGCAAGTTTTGTAAAGAAAAACAAGTATGATCGTTGTCGTATTTTTTATTTTACAGATGGCTTACAAAACCTTGTTGTGCTGAATCTGAATCACAACCATATTCGAAGACTTCCACCTGAGATTAAAAGGTAATTTAATGGCACCCTAGTCTCCAACATCTTCACACCTGCAATTATAGGTTCTGAACACCAGTTATGCTTTACAAAGTGTGATTCTGCATGTCAGTGATGAAAGAAGTACTCAGAAACTTGACTCAATAAGATAGGACAAGTCGTAATATCTACAGTACAACTACAAGTAGCATAAATGTCAGTAAACATCTTAAGCATTAACATCATTAAGAAGCAAATAGTCATTATGCAGAGTCTGCCTATCAAAATATAGGATTATTATTATTGATGCATTGATACTATGTTCATCATTTTAACCCTCCTGTTGTGTTCGGGTCAAATCTGCCCGATTTACGACTTTCATCAATCATAACTTTTTTGTTTTACATTCGATTGCATTAAGGCTTTATGATATCCTTCACAGTAGACATTTGAACATATACAATTGCTGATCACCACTTTCATTGGATGTTGGATGATTTAGTCAACTTTGTAACACCCATGGTGTTCCCGGCCATAAAGAAAAGGAATTAGTAACCATTTGGAATACACACACACACACACACACACACACACACACCNAGAAGAAGAAGAAGAAAGAGGAAGAAGAAAGAAGAAGAAGAAGAAGAAGAAGAAGAATAATAATAATAATAAAATGATGTTAATTAATAATAAAATAATTACATTATAAACCTGAAATTCTCAAAAAAAAAAAAAAAATGAAAATTAAAAAGTTACTCCGCACGTATGTTGAGTTGACTCCCACGGTTACGTGGGAATACGTTGGGGGCATCTTGGCCCCGGACCGATCACGTTTAGTCACCAACAAATGCAAGAGTGGACCTCTCACTCAACTTCTCAAACAACAGTCTTTTATGTTGCACAAAATATAAGTACCAACAACATTGGAGTGGGAGACGGTGCTGTAAGTCATTGTGATTTCGTGACGATTGATTACACATTCGTAACCCAACACTCCAGTACTCAAAACTCGTATGCGTCAGACAGGCCGTCACGAGACCTGCGAACTCTACACAAGCTACCCCTTTCACTGACACTAGAACCCGGCCCAAGATCCCGACCACTAGGGGACTCGAGCTGTTGGGCGTGGCTGCCACAGAGCCCGACCGTCCAATCGCGCCGGAGGACAGGCGAAATACCTGAAATCATACCCGACTTACTGACCACAAAATGTCTACGAACACACGAAGAAAAGAGGACACATAAGGTACAAACGTATTAACAACAAAAAACCAAGTACAAGTTCCCTTATCCAATACAGTCGCCAAAAGTTTCACACTCCGCGCGGAGGGACCCCCGCGGCCCTCTCGAAGTCCCTCCGGCGTCGCACTCTGTGTTTTCTTGCCTCTTTTCTGCTCAAATCACGTGAACGGGTGAACACCGACAGACACCTGTCACTCAAGGGTGTGGAGCAGGGTTTTCCGACATTTCACGAGTAAGGGAAGGGGAGGTGGATGGACACACTCACGCCAAAGAGCGTAAACTGAAACTAGTTTTCGTTCATTGGCCAGTTCCGGACGTCGTCTCATAGCTAGACGCAAATAAGGACACCACGTAGTTTCTGCGTCTGAGTAACAAGGGTGATTTCATTCCACTCACATTATTCCTCCGTTTTCAACTTCAAGTCACCACACGGGCCCTCGTATATTCCTAAAATATGTGGTACAACTTTTACAATTTTTTTTATACAGAAAACTTGTGCCGCACGCCTTTTATATGCCACAGCACGATGTCGATCTACACACGGACAGGTAGACATTCTTTCCACATCCGCTGACTGTACGTTCCTTCTTTGCCGACCAGGGTGTCTGACAAAGTTGAAATTGTTGACATAAGTTGAAGGTCCCATCACCCTTAACTTGTACGTAACAATTAACACCACACCCCATATAAAAGTACGTGCCTGTGCGTACAAAGTTGTTGTGTGTTTGACTTGTTGTAGTTAAGGCTGGCGATGGTCGCAGAACGCTAGAACAATAATTATTGTTTACGTGCAATTGACTACGTTATACCAACTCCTGGTAAACCCGAATAGGATCTTCCCCACGTTCCTTATCAGGTTCATCCCCCCTCAAAAATATGTTATACAAATTTGTATTTTTATTTTTCCAAATTTTTCAATAACAAAATTACAAAATCTCCTCCACTTGCGATGAGTCGTTAGTTTAGCCACGTCAGTTCGTGCTACACAGCAGTCAATGATGGAACATCAGAAAATGGTTAAAACAACCAGCCCTTATCGCCAGCAGTAACACTGCATCTACTGCAGGTAATAACAGTTCAGATCATGGGGACATTACGTTACCCGCGGCCACTGTCGTGGACACTAACGTCCTCCCGCCCGACTCGCCAGCTTTGCCCGCCTCTCCCACGGAGGCGGAGCAGCCCAGCCATCTTCGTTGCCCCAAACACCGCCACCCATCAACGGCCAGCAAGTGCCAGAGGACCTCGGCAAAACAGAGCCTGCAGGTATATTTTAAAAAGTACCCAACTTGCCTGTACAGTGGGGTAAGGCGCTCATTTTGCAGCTCATGGTTTCAAAACAGAGATTGGCTGGAATATTCATGTAAAAAATATG